GTGCGCGATTTCATTGAGCGCTTGTGTGACTTTAATATACTATTTAAGACAATGAACATTTTGGTTGATTGTGTTTGCACAGGTGAGACATGCTTTTCACATTAGCTTACTAACTGTAATTTAAATTGGACATGAAATATGTTTATAATGTGCTACACCAGTGGTTCTCAACTCTGGTCCTAGGAACCTAACTCTCTCTGCACATTTTGTATGTGTCTTATCTGACACATTCAGGGCTGCATTTCCCAAAAGCATAAGTGCTTAAGTGAAACCAATGGAGCTATGATCAACTTAGGCTTACGATGCTTTTGGGAAACACAGCCCAGTTCATGAAGTGCTCTCCTAATGAGCTGATGATATGAATCAGGTTGAATCACATGAAATCATGTGTTAAATAAGAAGACATACAAAATGTGCAGAGCTGTGGGTCCCCAGGACCAAAGTTTTTTTTCTATAGGCTAGAAGGGATACAGCTGTGGCTACTGGGCATGTGCATATAAATATAGCGCAATTTTTGTCACACTGTACAACAATAATTACTGTTTTTTTGCATTATTATAAGGGGTAGGTGTAGACGTTAATAAAACAATCTAATAGGTAGAAAATGTTATGTATTGTTAGTTTCCGGCCGTAGCTGTATCCCTTCTAGCCAAAACCCAGGACCAGAGTTAAGAAATCCTGGAAACAGGAAAGCGTTAACCTAAGACAACTAAGATGTTCAAGAGATGATGAAAACACAACCACACCATCTAGATATAAAAGCAATGACTGAAAATGCTGATCACCTAGAATCTTTTCGATTAGATGCTGAAATGTCCCTGAACCATTGCACAGTCCAAATGGCATACAAATAAAATGATAGCGCCAAAATGGAGTACAAAAAGCACAATACAAAAATTCTCAGCAACCTCCACTTGATTATAACCACTAGTGAGATCCATGGGCATGTTGCCATTTTTTTAACAATAGTGGTGAGGGATAAGGGCTACAACTCTCACTAATGCCCTACTCCAAAGGTTGTGTAATATGACTCTTCACCTCTTCATACTTGCTTGGGGAAAGATGATGATATCGCTGACAAACCGGGAAATCATCAGTGACCGTTATCTCAAGCTGTATAACTGCAGTGCAGCCTAGGTCATTATCACTGAAAGCAAACACATCAACGTAATAATTAAATAATGCTTTAACTTTTGCTGACTCCCCAAAAAGGGAGATTCTAAATAAAAATTATGTTGAAAAGATCCTGCCTCCTGTGTAAAAATCACAGCTTCTTCTGGATATAGGCCTAATGAAATCTGAACCTCCCTCTTAACCAGACCTGAAGACACAATAAAGCCTCCAGGTAGAGCACCTTCATTCACTTTTAACCCCTCTACCAAGCAATATCCTGAATCACATGCATTCTGAAAACCTGTAGCAGGGACCAAACATAGTTCCTGCAGATATCATTACGAGTGTGGGGGCCATCATTTTTGAACCTTGATATACTTGAGCACTTCGTCGTGGTGGCATGACCTTAAAATGTCCAGACAAAATTTCATTGCAGCCTTTAATTTGTATTCATGCCAACCAGCCCTGGGACTTTTTTCCTGTTTAATTTTGTTAAATGATCTGGTCTTTCACCACTTAAACACAATGCTGTGACAGGATATGTAGGCTATTCCATAACTAGTCGACCATGTAAGTGCACTAAATCTTTTTTTTCCCATGACAATGCAAAATCTTGATTATTGAAAATATCTCACACATTTTGACAAATATATCACACATAACCAACAAAACATCAGTTTACCTTAATTAAAGAATTCTCTGCCTACCTACCTATCTGGCGTTGTCTATTCGGCGAGCATGCCTTTGCTTTCACTGACACGCCGCCAACTCGGAAACTCGGGGCTTAAAGAAACGTCTGAGTTTCCCACAAGTAATAACGGCTTTGTGTATATCTTTAGAATATGTAGTATTCAATTCATTAATAATTCTCATAATTACAGATTGATCCACTTCCTGAATTTCAAATAATTTAACATCATCCTCTATATTCTGTCAATGTACACTTGCTGCAGAGAGAAAACAGAGTGCACCTGCCTACAGTATTTCACTGGGCACTTCCCAATTCACTTCCCCCTCCACCCCGCACCGGGTCACTCTCATTAGTCTTGGATCAATGAGTGGTTTTGTCTGGTAGAGTTTCCCACGTCTGTATGCTCTGCTGGCAGTCGCGTGGCTCTAGTCAAACAGATCAGAGATTAATTCACAGACATCTGCCCGTGGCCGAGAGCACTCTGACATCTGCTCACATTCACTGCTGGAGGGCGAAGTGATGCAACTTATGGCCTAGTTAGCTTACTACTCTTTTCTAAAAGCTTCTTAAGACTTCTTTAACTTAAATGTTTTAAGACAACATTAATTAATGCATGTATTAATGTTGTCTCATGTTTTATATTTTGTAATTTAAACAATTTTAAGTAGTGTTTTTTTTTTGGCAAATCAAAATTTCTCTATCATTTGTTTCAGAGTTCTGGCTCTGTATACCTTTGGGATTGGATTTGGTTTTGCTTAGGTCTATTAAGGACAGGGCGTGAATACGCATTTGGTCTCAGGTGGTTGACTGTAACAGAACACTCTAATGAGATCCTGGGAATGCTGAGCCACCATGGAAAACCATAATGAATTTCACGTGACACAAAACGTGTAGTTTCTGTGTGCAGAACGCCTCTAGGCTGGACATCTGTTGTTTGCTTTGAGTAGGCCTATGTGTGTGTGTGTTTGGGGGCTCATGCATTGAATAGAGGCGGTGACCTGTCATTTGTGAGTGATAGGAGCGAGCGTGTGGGAAAATATCTCAGGCAAAGAGCTTGTGTATTGAGATGCTAATGTCCCTCCTATAAATATAGGGCGTGCACAGCGCGGAGGGCCTTAGAAACACCCAGCACTCAGACAGGAGTGAGTGAAACTCAGTCTGTACTGCTCAGAAGCCACTGGAGATGACTGCTACCAACCTCCAGCAAAATGCAGGCCAAAGGCACATCAGCGCCAAAGAGGAGAGAAAGGTATTCAATAATATCACTATAAAATGTTCTTAGGCCTGTTATGAAAAGCATAGACTTTTGTTTTCTGTCTTTTGGTCTTTTTCAGCTGCGGAAACCCCTCATTGAGAGAAAGAGAAGGGAAAGAATAAATCACTGTCTAGATCAGCTGAGAGAGATGGTAGTTGGAGCTTTTAGGCTTGATGTAAGTTAAAATGCCATTTGAAAAATATAATTAAATTCTTGCATGTACAACACATCTTTGTCACACAGTCTTTTAACCAGTTTATCTTATACTAGTACCACTAGACTCACCATGATCTTTTTTTTCTTTTGTTTAAATCATAAAACAGCAGTCTAAGTTAGAGAAGGCTGATATTCTTGAGATGACGGTGAAACATTTGCAGAATATCCAGAGCAATAGAGTTTCTGGTAAGTAAATAGCATTTTTCAAAGCAGGCTGTATACAAACTTTGAAATGGCCATTGTTTTTTAGCAGTGTTTTAGTATCCATGTTTTGTTGTATTACATTAAGTGAAATTTCCCAATTAAAGTTAGAACGTTGGCATTTTCTGGAAAGGATGCCATATGTAAAGTCTCTATTGTTCAGCAATATCACCAAAACAGAGCAACAACAATTTCACTGATTTGCTCATTTCATTGTTGATGTTTAATTATTAACAGTTAAAAAATATATATTCCTGTGATCTTTTTGTCTCCACTCAGACCCCATTCTGGATGCAGAGACCCAACAGAGGTACAGTACTGGATATATCCAGTGCATGCAGGAAGTTCACAACCTTCTACTTTCATGTGACTGGATAGACAAAACCTTGGGGTCCCATCTGCTCAACCACTTACTCAAATCTCTACCTCGATCAGCTAAGGACTGCCCTCAGCTACCCAAGAACTCGCAGACAAGTATTTCTTCTAACCATAGCGACTACATTGGTTTCCATGCTGATGAGTTCGAGAGTCCAAAAACCTGCCCTCCTTCTCCTGTCTTGTATGAGAAGGCCATCCAGTCTCAGAATCAGTGTTCTACTCCCATGAGAATGCCACATGATGTGGAGAACCCACACCTCTCAGTTCTAAAGATGTGGAGGCCCTGGTGAAATATCTGTGATTTGGCAGTGTACAACTATGGTGTCTCCATATGTATGTATATGTAGTACATATGACTTACCTGGACAACTGTATTTACCGCTTTGTATGAATGTCAAATGAATAAGTATGCCGCCAGTCTGCACAATGCAGAGCTGTATACACCCAGTTTGTGCTGACTGTGGTAGACCCTCCTCTAATATGTATCTTATAGATATGTTTCACTGACCAGAATAGTCCCCATTTCAGACCCTCTCTACTTCCTCTCCGAAGTAAAAGCTACTGTAGCCTGCATTGTAGAAGGCCCCTAATAATAATTTTATTTATTTAATTATCACTAAATATTTAATGAAAGAATTTTCAGTATTAGAACTCTTTTTAAATTAAACACATTCTTTAGCTACTAATACTGTCACATTTGATTCCTTATCACTTCTATGTACAGCTTTGAACAGTTATTAATAAAGAAATGGTTTGCAACATGTACATAGTAATGTATTGTTCTTTCTCTCACCTATTCAGATGCGAATATATAAATGTGTAGAAAAAGTAAACATATAAACATAAACAATGGTAGTCTATGAGGAAATTTTTTTGGCAGATTGATACAATATATAAATCAATATCATACCAATAAAAGATTGCTGCAGGATTGATTTTAACATAAGTTGGAATTGGACAGTCTAAGAACCTGCCCTTATTCTCGCGTATGAGAGTGTAGCTCAAACTTAGTATCAGTGCTCAATATGTCTTCCTGATATATTAAAATAGCTTTGACTAACACAGCACTTGTCAAAACAACGTAACAACAACATCATATAACAACTACCTTCCCAATGACTATGTGTCCTGGTTTTATTTATATATATTATATATAATTATTGCACATTTCACAGGTGAATGTGCACACACACACACATATATATATATATATATATATTATTGCACATTCACGTGTGAAACAGTCCTTAAGACACTAACAGTTACAGCAAAATCAGTAATAGTGTGAAATATATTTACTATTTAAAATAACTGCTTTCTATTTGAATAAAATGTTTTATACCTGTGAATTTATACCTGTGATTTCAAAGCTGAATTTTTAGCATCATTACTCCAGTCACATGATCCTACAGAAATCATTCTAATATTCTGATTTGCTGCTCAAAAACATTTATTATTATTACTATTATTATGTTGAAAAGAGCTGAGTAGATTTTGTTCAGATTTCTTTGATGAATAGAAAGATCAGAAGAACAGCATTTATCTGAAATAAAAATATTTTGTAGCATTATAAATGTCTTTATTATCACTTTTGATCAATTTAATGCATCCTTGCTAAATAAGAGCAATATATATATATATATATATA